AACAAAGTATCACAACTAGAAGAGCCTAAAAACATATTTAAACATGTGTAATAACAAATGGAGATATGTCGCCTTAACCCAGAGGTAACAGCTTTGTGCCCATTGTATACTAACACCTTTCCACATTTATCACTACTTACAAAGTTCAATTATTTTCCATTCTTTCAGTAACAACTGAAAATTGTTTTCAATCATTGCACTTGCCTTGCTTTGCTTTTGTAAGAAAAATAGCCTCTATAATTTTCTTCTCAACTTAATTTGTTGACTCCATCATTCTTATTACAATTCCTGAGACCTGGGCTATATTTTTTGACCGCCAACTCCCGCCTGCAGCAAAGATAAAACCACCCACTCCTGTGAGACCCAATCCCAATGCAGCCCTCTACCTCAAACTCCAACTCCCTTTTAATGTCAATGCTAACTCTACAGAAGCAACAGTTCGACATGTTTTGCATTTAGGAAATAAACTATTATGAAGACTTCCTAAACCACAGCAGGATTCCAATATTTAATAAAGTACAGCCTCCAGTTCAGTCACATCAACAGAGAGTCTCCAGGGAGAATGTCCCCTTGACTGGCTTCCTAGGTTGGTCTTGGTCCTCAGAGCACAGCATTGCAGGCCATCACTCCAGGCTGGTTGTGCCGATAAGCTTTGTGCCCTGATGGGAAACACAGTCCTCCAGGCTTTATCAATTTCAGACAGAGCACTTTATGCTCCATAACTTTTCAACCCTGCAGATAAGCGACAGCTTTCCTGCAACATCATGAAAGAACATTGAATAACTCAGGGGCACTCAAGAAAGGTCAGGCAATGAGCGATAGATGATGATAGAGAGATATGTACCATAAGTGTAACAAGCATGAGCTGCAAATTAAAATGGATAACAGTTCATGAAATTCAACAGAGATTTTATGGTGAAGGAGAAAAAAAAACTGGTGTTACTGGAACTGGACCTCCAAGTTGCAAATGAGTATGTATCCTATTGATTTGCTTAGAAAAGCTTGAATACTGTATCATATATGGCATTTGAAATAGATATTTCATTTAATATTTTAATTTTATACATGCAATAAACATTTTTTACTCTAAATACTGGCAATCTCTTATGTAGAACACAGATGCATCTTGCTACAAAAGCTTGATTTTTTTATGTGTTGTTGTGTTTTGAAATGTGCCAGAGCACAACAAACAAGAAGAACTAAGGTGGGAATTAGCTTAATTGTCTCCTTTTACTGTTTGTTTCCTTTTTCAGGTCAACTACTGCCATGACATTGTCATCATAATCTTCACAAATAAACAAAACTTATGAATTCTGAAACCTAAATACATGAATTTATGCCATAAATTAAATGCACCATGGTTGACTGAATTAAGCATCTCCACCACTAATGAATCTTTATTGAAAATCTAAAACTCAAAGTTGGAAAGTTTGACTTAGAATAATTTGCAAGTTTGCAATAACTGAGCCAACAATTCAATTTCATTATATTTATCAAGAATGCACTGCATTCATAAAAAAATTTATAAAAAAAAACCTTTGTGTCTATAATTTATTACCTTTTCTGTAGCATTCTGGAAAAACCATTCGACATTGTCCAGATTCATGGAGTCATGCTAACAGGAAAAAAATTATCTCTCCTTTCATTCATTTAGCTGTAATTACTCTAATTAAGCAGTAGCAATCAGGCAACACACACTGATGAACCTGACATCCGTGTCCTTGGGAAGGGAAAGGACGACTGTTCCGGATTAACAAGAAGGTGGGGAGTAGAGAATGCTGCAGTGTACATTAAAATGGATGTGATCTAAATGTCATTTCACTCATTTTTCTCATATTCTGTATGTGCCTAAGAGCAGTTTTTTTCTTTTAATAAAAGCATGTTAAGATGTTATTATACATATTTGTGTCTGCCAGAAAATGCACTGGGAGTAAATAAATAATAATCATTAGGTTCAAGTGCTTTTGTAAAAGTTGTAAAAGGGGTGAGAGAGAGAGAGAGCAAAATTTTTGTGTCTGAATTACTTCAGAAAACATCATACAGAATAAATGATGAAAAATGATTGTAAATGTTATCCTGACCACATTACATCAGGATCAGACACACTGCTTATGCTGCATTCCAGACAAAGTAGGAGGTTAGAATGTGTGAGCTGTATTTCTCAAATTCAACCTCAAAAGCTTTCTAGTCTAAAATCAAATGTAAACAAAACACGATGAAGCATGATTTAAGACATTTTTTATCACTTAAACACAAAATGCTTGAGTTTGCTCTAGACAAAAGCATGAAAAGTGAAATGCGATAATATTACATTACAAAAACGAATGCCTTCTCAAGCTAAACTTACATATTTACACAACTTTTGTTTCATTGTGATGATGACCTTTAACATAACCCAGCTCTGATCAGTCTGCCACAAATTTACAAGTCTAATGTTCGTCATTCCTGTGGTTATTTTTAAATCTGAGTTCTGAGTTGTCAGCAATGGTGCATTAATGCTTCCCAAATATGGCTTATGTACAGTACAGTCACAATGTTTATGACGCTGAATAAAATTAAGATTATCTAAAAACGTGAAGCCACATGCTTAAAGGAAATGCCACAGTCTGATTCTTTTATTGTTTAATTAATTGTTTAATTAATTAATATTTTAACTATCATTGAGAAGAGAAAGCAAAACTGGAGTGAAATGGAGATATTACTTAGGGACAAACAGCTGTATTAGATATGCATTGTGTTTTTAGTGCAGCCAACCCCAACCTTAAAACTGTATAAAACAAGAGAAATCCATTAATCCATCAATGAAAATAACTAGTGAGTTTTCTTACATGAAAGCTGGGAGACCAAGGTATCCAATAAGGTATCCAATTGTTAACTACAGAGAATGAAGGGAAGACAAACAACAATTAGCTGAATATTTTAGATTTCTGTCAGGACCAATATCATCAAAATGATTAACGCTTAGCATACAGTTTGGATTGACGGTATGATTCTGTTCTGGGTAAAAACTCACTGCCCATCCCCATAAATTAAATGCACCATGGTTGACTGAATTAAGCATCTCCACCACTAATGAATCTTTATTGAAAATCTAAAACTCAAAGTTGGAAAGTTTGACTTAGAATAATTTGCAAGTTTGCAATAACTGAGCCAACAATTCAATTTCATTATATTTATCAAGAATGCACTGCATTCATAAAAAAATTTATAAAAAAAAACCTTTGTGTCTATAATTTATTACCTTTTCTGTAGCATTCTGGAAAAACCATTCGACATTGTCCAGATTCATGGAGTCATGCTAACAGGAAAAAAATTATCTCTCCTTTCATTCATTTAGCTGTAATTACTCTAATTAAGCAGTAGCAATCAGGCAACACACACAGATGAACCTGACATCCGTGTCCTTGGGAAGGGAAAGGACGACTGTTCCGGATTAACAAGAAGGTGGGGAGTAGAGAATGCTGCAGTGTACATTAAAATGGATGTGATCTAAATGTCATTTCACTCATTTTTCTCATATTCTGTATGTGCCTAAGAGCAGTTTTTTTCTTTTAATAAAAGCATGTTAAGATGTTATTATACATATTTGTGTCTGCCAGAAAATGCACTGGGAGTAAATAAATAATAATCATTAGGTTCAAGTGCTTTTGTAAAAGTTGTAAAAGGGGTGAGAGAGAGAGAGAGCAAAATTTTTGTGTCTGAATTACTTCAGAAAACATCATACAGAATAAATGATGAAAAATGATTGTAAATGTTATCCTGACCACATTACATCAGGATCAGACACACTGCTTATGCTGCATTCCAGACAAAGTAGGAGGTTAGAATGTGTGAGCTGTATTTCTCAAATTCAACCTCAAAAGCTTTCTAGTCTAAAATCAAATGTAAACAAAACACGATGAAGCATGATTTAAGACATTTTTTATCACTTAAACACAAAATGCTTGAGTTTGCTCTAGACAAAAGCATGAAAAGTGAAATGCGATAATATTACATTACAAAAACGAATGCCTTCTCAAGCTAAACTTACATATTTACACAACTTTTGTTTCATTGTGATGATGACCTTTAACATAACCCAGCTCTGATCAGTCTGCCACAAATTTACAAGTCTAATGTTCGTCATTCCTGTGGTTATTTTTAAATCCGAGTTCTGAGTTGTCAGCAATGGTGCATTAATGCTTCCCAAATATGGCTTATGTACAGTACAGTCACAATGTTTATGACGCTGAATAAAATTAAGATTATCTAAAAACGTGAAGCCACATGCTTAAAGGAAATGCCACAGTCTGATTCTTTTATTGTTTAATTAATTGTTTAATTAATTAATATTTTAACTATCATTGAGAAGAGAAAGCAAAACTGGAGTGAAATGGAGATATTACTTAGGGACAAACAGCTGTATTAGATATGCATTGTGTTTTTAGTGCAGCCAACCCCAACCTTAAAACTGTATAAAACAAGAGAAATCCATTAATCCATCAATGAAAATAACTAGTGAGTTTTCTTACATGAAAGCTGGGAGACCAAGGTATCCAATAAGGTATCCAATTGTTAACTACAGAGAATGACGGGAAGACAAACAACAATTAGCTGAATATTTTAGATTTCTGTCAGGACCAATATCATCAAAATGATTAACGCTTAGCATACAGTTTGGATTGACGGTATGATTCTGTTCTGGGTAAAAACTCACTGCCCATCCATGCAGCTTGTCATGAATGAGCAGGGAGAGCAGCAATAACCCCCTTAGGGTAAACAGAACAAAACCAAATGTAGCATATATTCTTAATGTTCTTTATGGCATTTTAGTATAACAACATTATTCCAGATAAAAAGGAGTCTGATTTGAGAAACAAGGAATATCAGAAAGCCAAGTCCTGACTGTGATGATAGGAGGAGTTGGGGATGGAGGAGAGTAATTTGCTACCCCCTTAGGGTAAACAGAACAAAACCAAATGTAGCATATATTCTTAATGTTCTTTATGGCATTTTAGTATAACAACATTATTCCAGATAAAAAGGAGTCTGATTTGAGAAACAAGGAATATCAGAAAGCCAAGTCCTGACTGTGATGATAGGAGGAGTTGGGGATGGAGGAGAGTAATTTGCTCCTGAGCAAGCGATAAAGCTGCTGAATAATACTGAACAGACCTTAAAGGGATAGTTCACCCGAAAATGAAAATGCTGTCATTAATTACTCACCCTTATGCCATTACAAACCTGTAAAAACTTTGTTCTAAGCATCTAAACACACCGATTAAATATTTTTGATGAAAGACCTTTCTGACCCTGCATAGACAGCAACACGACTACCACGTTCAAGACCCAGAAACATAGTAAAGACATTGCTAAATTAGTCCATCTGACATCAGTGGTTGGATTGCAATTTTATGAAGAATATTTTCTGTGTGCAAGAGAACAAAAATAATGACTTTATATAACAATTCTTCTCTTCCATGTCAGTCTTCACTGTGCATTCACAAGAGTACCATGACACATGCATGTAGTTTTGCTGACGCAACAGCTGGCATTCTGACGTAGAACCCGGATGCGCTGCAGCTTGTTTATGTTGTGACTTAAATTAGATTAATATTAGTCATAAATGCTTAGTGTAATGTTTAATTCATTGTTTTCAATAATAAGAACATAAACAGTTTATATAGTAATTTATTGGGCTGTTCCCCTTTAAGAAAACATTGCCCATAATGCTGTTAAGATTGAGAGCACGCTGATGCCAACCGCCGTTTAACTGGAAAGAAGAAGAGGAAGAAGAGCGCGCTGAGAAGGGAACCGAGTATGTATGTGCCCTGCTAAAGTGAATTCACCCCTGTAAAAAACCTGAAACTCCAGTAAATCAGTTCTTTTGTTTTAATTCAAGTCGTCACGAGTCATTATTGCTTGTTAAAGTGAAGAAGACACGACAAAGCATCTGGTGCCGAAACCCAGGAACCTAGCAAGCAACACCCGAAATGACAGAGCGACTTGACAGACTACTCCGAAAACGGAGAGCTGTACTACGAGACTTTTACAAGATATTGAAACAGAGGTAGACAAAGAAGATCCGGTCATTGAACGACTATGTGAACAGTTAGCCCCGTTATCTGAAAAAGAGGAAACACTGCTGGAGTTATATGTTAGAATCGAGGATGGAGACCGATGATTTGGAGAATGAAATCGCTGATGTTGAGGATTATTCAACGAGCAAGTCATCACCGCAAATCACACGTGCACAGAGTGATACAGAGAAACCGGGAAGGAAGCAGATCGAGCAGCACAGAGCCCTCGGTGCATAGACAAACAGTTAAGTTACCCAAGTTGATTATCGACAAGTTTAACGGTGAAATCAGTCTGTAGCAAGACTTTCGGAATCAGTTTGAAACCGCTATTCACAAGAATGATGTGCTGAGCAAAACAGAGAAGTTTAATTAATTAAAGACGTATCTAACCGGTGCTGCTTCAAAGGTTAACAGACAGTAATTAAAATCACGCGATCGAGCTGCTGCAGAAACTGTTCGGAAGAAAGGACCTGCTTATTAAGGCGCACACGACCAAACTGCTGAATCTCTGCCCAGTAAAGAAATCTAACGACGTCACTGCTCTGAGACAACTTTTTTGATGAATGTGAAGTACATATCCGCAGCTTAGAATCGCTGGGTGTTGTATCAAAGGCGTATGGCAGCTTGTTGTGCCCTGTTCTGCTACAGATGATTCCAGACGACATTACTCTCCAGTACAGTCTACAGGGAGGAACCAGCGATGAATGGAAAGTCTCAGAAGTTAAGTTCATTGTCTGTTTGATTACGTCTTTAATTGATTTTTCCGTACATTTCTGCCATATGTACATTAACTGACAGTCACCACTTGTAATGATAGAGAAGCAGGGACAGCCAGACTATAGACAAATAATCACAAATGTGGTCTTAGCTGGGCTAGAACCCTGATCTCCTGGACACAGAGCTGGTGCTCTTCCAGAGTGAGTTAACTCCAGGTTGAGTATTTCTTAGACCCAAGTGCAGAGGAATGACAAAATCTCACAGAGACGAGAGATACAAACTCCAAGTAGTTTTACTTGTAGAGATAAAAAAAACAAGGAACAACGTACAAACAAAACCAGAAGCAAGGCTTCCAATAATCACAACAAAAAAAGGCGACCCAAGTGCAGAGGAATGACAAAATCTCACAGAGACGAGAGATACAAACTCCAAGTAGTTTTACTTGTAGAGATAAAAAAAAACAAGGAACAACGTACAAACAAAACCAGAAGCAAGGCTTCCAATAATCACAACAAAAAAAGGCAAACACAAAACAAGCACAATGGCTTACAAAAGACTCACAGTTTACAACAGGATACAAAGGTAGGTATGCTTAAGACTGAACAAAACACAATGGCTAAAGGCAAACTTAAATAGGGCCCTACACAGGTGAGTATCATCAACAATAATTGCTAAGCACAGCTGAGAGTTCTTGCCAATGGTTGCCCCCTGGCAACTGGGAGGAAGATTGCGGGCAGCAGACATCCCGCGCCCCCTTGTGGCTGGGAGTAATACTGCTGGTCATGGCAGGAGTGTGACCCCTAGTGGTTGGAGGAAGTACTGCCGGCTAAAGTCTTACACCACTGATAAGCTACTACTAAATATATTGTAGAAACTTAATTTTCTGTAAAGTTGCTTTGCAATGATTTGTATCATGAAAAGCGCTATACAAATAAACTTGAATTGAATTGAACTATGGAATTCCTGCAGAAAGAGATTCTAAGCAGAGAAAGAACCATGCAGCTGATTAAGCCAAGAAATTCCAGAGACAGTCAAAGCTATCAGAAACCAGTTAAAAGACAAGAGACATAATTTGAAATGAAGCACAGAAAGCACAGCATTCCATGAGCTGCAGTACTGCAAACCAACAGTCAATGAATACAGAACTGCCTTTTCTGTGAGAGTGCAGCACAAAAAACAGAACTGTGTCCTGAAACTGATATTGCTGCCCGAAAGGACAAACTGAGGAAGATGGGACGATGCTTCATGTGCCTTGGGCCAAAGCACATCGCAAGATTCTGTAAGACTAAACTGTGCTGTAATGTATGTGGAGGCCGACACCACAGTGCTGTATGTGAGAAAGAAGAGACATGCACTTCCGACACTGATGACAACAAGAACAATGCTGCAGACTGTAAGAGCATGTGCAGAAGGACCTGGTGGATGTAGAAGCATTCGCTGCTTACTGGATGGAGGCAGTCAGAGAAGCTTCATCAGTGAGAACACAGTAGGAGCTTTAAA